GAATTTGGTGAATATATGTTCATGATTGTAATATCTTCTTGGTTTATTGTTCCTTTGATCAGAATGAAGTGGCCCTCTTTATCTTTTCATATTAGTTTTAGTTTAAAGTCTATTTTATCAGATCTTAGAATTGCAACACATGCTTTTTTCTTAGTACCATTCACTTGGTATATTTTTTTCCATCCTTTCACCTTAAGGTAGTGTCTGTCCTTGAAAGTGAGATGAGTTTCTTGCAGACAACAAAAAGATGGGTTTTGTTTCTTAATCCATTCAACTAGTCTGTATCTTTTGACTGGGGAGTTCAGTCCATTGATAGTTAAAGTTATTAGTGAAAGATGTGTGTTGATTCCTGTCATTTTTATTTATGTTCACATTCTTGGTGTGGCTGTGCATTTGCACAGTTATACCTTCATTGTTTTTTTCTGTAACCCCTTGTGTATAGTCATTCCTTTCTTCTGCTCTTTGTATTGTTTTAGGAACTCTCTGAAGGGCTGGTTTTGTGGACATGAATTCTTTCAGCCTATTTATATCATGGAAGATTTTTCTTTCCCCTTCACCTATAATAGACATTTTGGCCGGGTAAAGTAATCTGGGTTGGCATCTGTGGTCATTTAGAACTGGGAATACTTTGGTCCAGGCTCTTCTGGCTTTCACAGTTTGCAGTGAAAAGTCAGCTGTAATCCTGATGGGTTTTCCTTTATATGTGACGTGTTGTTTCTCTTTTACATCTTTCAGTGTTCTCTCTTTGTTCTGTATGTTTAGTGTTTTTACTATGATGTGCCATAGAGAGTTTCTTTTCTGGTCCTCTCTGTTTGGTGTTCTATATGCTTCTTGTATTTGCATGTGCATATCTTTCCTTAATTTTGGGAAATTTTCTTCTACAAGCCTGTTGAAGATCTGGTCCATACCATTATCTTGGGATTATTCTCCTTCCTGTATCCTATGATTCATAAGTTTGGTCTTTTTATGGTGTCACACAATTCCTGAATATTCCATTCTTGTGTTTTCTTAAGTTTTTCATAATCTTTGCTTGAGTGGTCCAGTTTGTCCACTTT